CCAAGTGCTGGGACTTCAGGCATGTACCACCACGCCCAGCTTTTATTTATTATTTTTATTTTTTAGGTGTACCTGCATGTAGGTAAGTGCACTCGTGTCCTGCAATGCCCATGGGGGACAGAAGAGGCTGTCGGATCCCCTACAACTAGAGTTACAGGCAGTTGTTAGCTGCCATGTGGGTACTGGGATTTGAGCCCGGGTCTTCCGTGAGAACAGTCAGTGTTCTTAACCACTGAGCCATCTCTCCAGCCCTATGGAGAGTTTTTAGTTGCCATGCAGGTGTTGGGAACCAAATCTATATTCTGTAGTGCTCTTAACTGCTGAGCATCTCTACAGCCAGTCCCTTATTTGATTTTTTAGTATGCTTTCTGTAAATTGTTATTCATGTGTGTGCATGATGGTGGAGGATGCAGGTGCCACACCATATTATTGCTTTTTTTTGGTCTTTTTGAGACAGGGTCTCCCTGTAGCCCCAGCTGGCCTGGAACTTGCTATGCAGACCAGGCTGGCTTCAAACTCACAGAGATTCGCCTGCCTCTATCTCCTGAGTGCTGGGATTAAAGCATGCACCACCATGCCCAGTTTTCTCTACCTTATTTGTTGTGACATGATCTCTCAGTGAACCTGGAGCTTACCAATTTGGATAGGCTAACTGGTCAGAGTTCCAGGGATCCTGCTGTCTCTACCATCACTTGGATTCCAGTCTTTCTTTCTTTCTTTCTTTTTCTTTTTTTTTTTTTTTTTAACAGTGTCTCCCTATTCCCAGTCCTCCAGGAAGGCACTATGTGGATCAGACTGACCTCGATCTCACAGAGATCTGCCTGGCTCTTATGTGGAGTCATCATGCTTGTACTTAAAGAATTTGACCCACAGAGCCATCGCCAGTCCCCTTTTTTTTAATTTATGGATTTATCTTTTGTTTTATGTGTGTGGGTTTTTTGCCTGCCTGTATATATGTTCACCATGAGCATGCAGTGCCCACAGCAGCCAGAAAAGGACATAGGATCCCCGAACTGAAGAATGGGTGTTAGCACCATGTAAGTGCTGGGAACCGAACCTGGGTCCTCTGCAATAGCAGTCAGTGATCTTAACCACTGAGCCATCTCCCTAACCCCCTATTTATTTTTGAGACAAGGTCTCATGTAGCCCAGGTTGGCCTCCAACCCATTATGTAGTGGTGGCTGGTCTGGAGCTTCTTCTGATCATCCTGCCTCTACCTCCCAAGTGATAACAGGTGTGCACCACCATACTTTGTGCTGAGAACTAGTAGCTGTCAGGCACCTATCTTAATAATGGGGTACGTTATGTCTTGAAAGAAACCAAGTCTCCATCCTGGAAAAGCTAATTTCCTAGTTGCACAGAAAAACAAGACTAGTCACAACACTAGCAGCCTCCCAATGTCCCAGAGGCTGAGGCAGGAGGATCACAAGTTCCTCCTCACAAGTAAGGGGAAGGATAGGAAGTCAGGAAAGAAGGAGGAGGGAAGAGTGGACATGGCTGGGGGTATAGCTCAGTCGACCGAGTTTAGCCTCCTTAAGGTCCTGAATTTGATCCTCAGCACTGCAAAAACAAACAAGAGGATAAAGAGTGGGGAGGGGGGCTGGAGAAGTGGCCCAGTGGGTTAAGCATTTGCTGAGTGAGTGTCAAAACCTGAGTTCAATCCCCAGGACCCACATAAAGAGGGTAGTGCATAAGTCTGTAATCACAGTGCTCCTACTGTGAGACAGGGGATGGAGACAGGAGAAACCCTGGATGCTCTAGGAACAGCTAGCCTGGTGTACAGAATATCCAGAATACAGACTCAAACAAAGGGAATACTGACATCAGAGGTTGACCTCTGACATCCACATGATTGCTGTGGCACACACATCAACATCCACTCCCGTGAACACAGACACACATCACACAGACAAACACAGAAGATAAAAACAAAACACAAACCAGGAGGCTGGGGATGTTAAGAGCAAAGGTTCCTCTTGTAGAGGACTTGGATTCAGCTCCCAGCACCCTCATGGTGGCTAACAACTGTCTGTAACTCCAGTTCCAGGGGATCTGATGCCTTCTTCTGGCATTGCATGCATGTGGTGCACTTTCATACATGGAGGCATATATAACACTCATACACATAAAATAAAAATAATAAACCCCCCAAAAAAATCAAAAAAGAAAATATGGTGGGGGCTGGAGAGATGGCTCAGTGGTTAAGAGCACTGACTGCTTTTGCAGAGGATCCGGGTTCAATTCCCAGCACACATGGCAGCTATGAACCATCCTTAACTCCAGTTCCAGGGAAATCCGAAGCCCTCTTCTGACCTCCGCAGCATTGCATGACACGGGTGCATTCACATACATGCAGGCAATGTACTCATACACATAAAATAAAATATTTTAAAAAAAAGAAAGAAAAGATGGTTCAGTGGGTAAGGGTGCTTGTTGCCAAGATTGACAACCTAAGTTCAATCCCTGGATTCACGTGGAGGGAGAGAAAATGACTCTTGCAACTTTTCCCCTGACCTCCGCAGAGATCCACCTGCTTCTGCCTCCTGCTCGTGGGATTAAAGGCATGTGCTACATGCCCGGCCTTCATTTAAATTTTTTTTTTTTTGCCTGTGGGTGTGTGTAGAATGTGATCTGGTCACATAATCCTGCAAGTTTGTGTGGAATGTGATGTGTGCACATGAGCATGCACTTACACACACCCATGTACCCACACACAGAGGCCAAAGAGGACATCACATGTCTTTCCACTCTCTACCTTATTTTCTGAGACAGGGTCTTTTACTGAACTGCAAACTCCGTACTTTAGCTATCCCGGCTGGCCAGAAAGCTCTTGGGAACTGAGCAGAACTGTCCCATCCCCCAAAGCTGGGTTCCCAGTATGTGAAGCCATGCATGGCTTTCTAACATAGGTACTGGGGAGCATCTATGAACTCAGGCCCTCATGCTTACAGAGCAAGTGCTCTTAGTGGCTGGGCGACCTCCCCAGCCCTCACTGATGCCTTCTACAGCTGTGTTAATTCCCTCAGCTGGACACACACTCTCAGCTCCAAGTCCTCATGGACCCTAGGCTGGGGTTGGAGCTCCATGGGAAAATGTTTGCCCAACATTGGTTAGAGGCTCCAGTCCATTCCCACCATGGGGGTTGGGGAACACTCAAAGTTCCCCAAGCTGTGGCTCTCAAGCTATGACCTAGGGAACCCCTACCTCCACCCTGCCCTATGCAGGAGTTCCTCTCTGAAGCCCAGACTGCACAGATCCCTGTCTCCCAATCTGCTCCCTTGTCCTTCATCTACAGAGTTTCCCCTAGCAGGACACAGTAGGTGTCTGATAAATCATTAACCAACCATTTGAATCCCATTGTGCATAAAGCAAGAGTGAGACTTCTTGGGACAGCCAAACTTGGCAGTCTGTCTGGCAAATCAAAAATCCAGAATCAGGCCTGGTGGCACACAACTTTAGTCCCAGCACTCAGGAGGCAGAAGTAGGTAGATTTCTGTGAGATGAAGGCCAGCCTGGTCTGCATAGCAAGTTCCAGGCCAGCTGGGGCTACACAGTGAGACTCTGTTTAAAAACACCAAAACCAACCAACCAAACAAGAACCCACAAGAAGGTAGATTTTGCCTCAGATAGAATGACTGTGAGAAGGCTAGAAATGAACAGTAAAGACAGAGAGAAAGAGGAACTCACCAATAGGAAGAATACAAATGGAAAACAGTATGCAGGTTCCTCATAGACCTAAAAATAGAATGAGCATATGATCACCCGATCCCACATCAGAATGCCACCAAAGAAATGGAAATTGGTATGTCAAAGAGGCCTCGACACCTCCATATTTTATTTTTTAAATTTATAGGCGCTGGAGGGATGGCTCAGTGGTTAAGAGCACTGGCTGCTCTTGCAGAGGACCTGGGCTCAGTCTCCAGCACCAACATGGTAGCTAACAACCTTCCAGAACTCCAATTCCAGGAGATCCGATGTCTTCATTCTGGCCTCTGTGGGAATTGAACACACAGTGGTGCACAAGCATGCAGGCAAAAGACACATAAAAATAAATATTAAAAACGAATAAATAAAAACCAAAAGAAAACAACAAAACTACACACCTTCATTTAAATCTCCAGGGTCTGCCCCATCCTTGTTTTACATCTGTGTCTCCAATATACATTTCAATAGTGCTGTTTGCTGTTTTCACCTCATGTCAGACATTCCACTCTTTACTCTTTATCTTCTTCATTTCACTAAAGTTTCACAATTTCCCCATTATCTAAATAAAAAGAGGTTGGCTCGAGACCTTGTGTTCAGCATTGGAGTTTTGTTCAGATCTCAGAGGCCTCTGAGTGGACAGCGCTGAGCCTGCTACGGGATCACTGCGCACCCTGGAGGCCAAATTGGGAATGGAGACAGTAATGTAGAAATGACCCTTTAGATTACTCTTAGGGAGTCAGTTCTGATCTGTGGAACACCTGCCTTTGCTCAATCCAGAGAGTCTAAAAAGAAGTGAGAGGAGACAGGATCCTATCCCTACTCGGGGGAGCTAAGTAAACCTATCAAATACAATGGGGATGAAATCTTGTATTTAAACAACCAGCTGTGCATGGTGGCGCCTGGCCTTAAATACCAGCTCTTGGGAGGCAGAGGCAAGTCGATATCTGGGAGTTAGAGGCAAGCCTGGTCTACATCGTGAGTTCTAGGCCAGCTGAGGCTACAAGGAGGGGAAAAAAACTAATACTACTACTAATAATACAATATAATAAAACTGGCAGAGAGGGGAAAGACAGACTGGCTCGTAGGCAAAATGAAGTGTGTGGGAAGAGGCATGACCAAGGGCAATCAAAAGCTAAACGGTTATTGGATGCCTTTCTTTTGCCGTCCGCCCCTAGCACCGCCCGTCCATGGGCGGGTCTTTCCTGTCTTCGGAACCAGAAGCCCGTCTCTGGAGCTGAGCACTCTGATTGGTTGCCTTCAGCGGCCGCGCTCCCTGAGAGTCGTCCTCTGTGCATAGTCCTCGTTCCCCGCGCTTCATCCGAGAGAGGCTGCGTCCGTGTCGCATTCGTGACGTTGGCGTGGTCGCGTGCCCGACGTCGTCTCGAGACGCCTTCAGAGGCGGCGTGAGCTCCGGCGCCCGGAGGTTCCCCGCGATGCTGCGGTTGTTCCCGGTTCTGTCGCGGGCCTGGCTTCGCCCCTCTGGCAGTCGGGTGAGGTGGAGGGCAGAGGTCAGGGTCAGAGGTCAAAGGCTGGGGACTTCCGGGAACACCTCTCACACCCTGTCATGGTTTTCTAGGCCCTGAACTCACAGGCAGAAGACAGGGCTGGGCGTGCGCTGATCTCCGAGCCAGGGGAGAGAGCGGGTGAGACAGCCGGGGTCACACCGTTGGAGGAACACAACCGAAAACTGGCCTTTGACCCTGATCCTTGACCACCCTATCCCTCCTCTCCCCTAGGTCCCCAGGATCCAGTGTTGCGTAAGTGCGAGTTCCCGATCCCCGTGCACCGGCGCTCAGTGCAGGCCTGGGTCGAGTCCCTGCGGGGCTTTGAACAGGAGCGTGTGGGCCTGGCCGAGCTGCACCCTGATGTATTCGCCACTGCGCCCCGGTGAGTGCGGGCGAAGAAGCTTGTCTCAGTTTACCCATCTGACACAGGGGGATCATTTTCCCTGCCGCTCGGGGGGATGAAGGACACAGCCCGGGAGGCCTCTGGACTGTTAAAATACCTTCTTGTTGTCTTATCCTTGGGTTCCCACACTGTTAAACCTCAGGAATCTGAGTCATGATTTCCATACCTTAATTTGGCAAACAGGAAGTTCTTTAGAAAACGTTCATTATTGGTGTTGGAGATGTGTCTCAGCTGATAGCATGCCGAAAGCCCTGGGTTCAAACAAACCAGGCATGGTGGCGTATACCTGTCATCCTCAGCTACATAGTGAGTTCCAAGCCATCCTGGGCTTCATGACATCTCAAGAAAAAAAGGGCTGCAGAGATGGCTCAGTGGCTAAGAGCACTGGCTGCTCATGCTGAGGACCTAGGTTTGGTTTTCAGTACCCATATGGTGAGTGTCTTTAACTCCAGTTGCAGGGGATCTGATGCCCTCTTCTGGCCTTCGAGGGCACTGCATGACAAACGTGCACATGCAAGGAATAACAGCCATAATATAAAAATAACCAGACAAGGCCGGGCGTGGTGACTCACGCCTTTAATCATAGCACTGGAGAGCCATAGGCAGGCAGATCTCTGTGAGTTCAACGCCAGCCTGGTCTACATAAGTGAGTTCCAGGACACCTGGGGCTCCAGGGAGACCCTGTCTCAAAAAGACCAAAAAAAAAAAAGCCAGGCATGATGGTGCACACTATTTTTTTTAATTTTACTTATTTTTATTTTATGTGTATTTGTGTATTGCCTGCATGTAGGTAAGTGCAACCATGTCCTGCAATGCCCGTGGAGGACAAAAGAAGCTGTCTGATCCCCTGGAACTGGAGTTGTTAGCTGGAACTGGAGTTGTTACGGACAGTTGTTAGCTGCCATGTGGGTGCTGGGATTTAAATGTGGGTCTTCTGCAAGAACAGTCAGTGTTCTTAACCACTGAGCCATCTCTCCAGCCCCGATGGTGCACACTTTTAACAGGAGGCAGAGGCAGGTTAAATTCTGTGAGATTGGGACCAGCCTGGTCTATATAGTGTGTTCTAAGCCAGCTGTGGCTACAGGGAGACCCTATCTCAAAAAATGACCAAAAATAAATGAATAAATAACTTAATAATAAGAAAAAGAAGCCGGGTGTGGTGGAACGTGTTTAATCCTAGCACTCAGGAGGCAGAGAAATCTCTGAGATTGAGGCCAGCCTTGTCTACATAGTGAGCTCCAGGTCAGCTGGGACGACAGGGAGACCCTGTCTCAAAAACAAAAAACAGAAAGACAGATGAGACTGGTTCAAATTATATATGTGTGTGGAGGTCAGAGGACAACCTCAGGTATCAATCTTGCTTTCTTCCTTGTCTAGGACAGCATCTCTGGTTTGCTCCTGTTTATCACAGGCTAGCCCCAGATTCTAGGGACCCTCCAGTCTCTGCCTCCATGTCCCTGTAGGAGTGCTGGGATTACATCTGTGCCCTATCACTTCCAGCTTTACCAGCTTTACGTGGGTTCTTGGGTCTTCACACTTGTGTGGTAGGCACTTTACCCACTAAGTGCCCTCCTTTAGTTCTCTCTCTCTCTCTCTCTCTCTCTCTCTCTCTCTCTCTCTCTCTCTATATATAAAATATCTATATAAAATCTTTTTGAGACATGGTCTCCCTGTAGCCCCAGCTGACCTGGAACTCATTATGTAGGCCTGGCTATATTTGAACTCACAGATACCCACCTGCCTCTGCCTCCCAAATGGTGGGATTAAAGGTATGTATGCATCACCACGCCTAGCTGGCCCTCTATATTATATTTAACTTTCAGTATGTACAGTTTGTCATTTGAACATGTGGCACTTTAGTTTGAGGCGCATGGTAGCCACATGCCACTTATGCCTGCTGAATGGGTACATAAGGAGTCAGACCTGGTTCATCATGGAGTTGGCAAGAAGTTACAGTGGTGGGAAAGAAGCAGGGTGTGGTGAGGAGAGAAGGTAGGGGCAGTCTAACCTCATCATTCCCACTTGGGTATTTAGAGTTGGTACATATAGGCTGTGAAGTAACCAAGATGGCAGCATTCCAACCACAGGGAGGGGCAGTGCAAAAGGCCCTGAGGTCAGGTCATATGTGGTGGCACACACCATTGATCTCAGCACTTAGGTGGCAGAGGCAGGTGGATCTGTGTAAGATTGAGGCCAGTCTGTCTACATAGCAAATTCCAGGCCAGCTGGGGCTATAGGGAGACCCTGTCTTGTGAAGAGGGGTCAGAGGAGCATTCCATACTTCTGTCTCACTGGATAGCACAGCTAGCCTTTGAACTCTCCATTCTCCTGCTTCAGCCTTCCCAGTGCTAGGAGCTTAGTAAAGCCACCAAGCCTAGCTTGAGTGGAGGTGGTATCAGCTGTGGTCCAGGAAGGGCAGATGACATGGAGTCCTGAAGATTGAAAGGAAAAGCCAGGCTTCCTTTGTCAGCATGTGGGAGTTTCATTCAGGGTGTCCCTCTCATATCTCCCTTTCCCTTCCCAGGCTGGATATCCTGTACCAGGTTGCCATCTGGCAGAAGAACTACAAGAGAATCGTGAGTATCCTGAGCAGAGTATGAGGCTTCCCACAGGGCTCAGGGCCAGTGGCAGAGGAGGTCCTGGCTGTGCTTTCTGGAGCCTGCCCAGCTGAGGCTTCAACTACTATTTGGAAGAAGATCAATTCTCATGCCGTTTCACAGCACCCACAATTGTTAGGGAAGACAGGACCTGCCAGGTTCTAATGGGAGACATGGACATGAATAAGTAGTTAAGCCCAGGTGTGCATCATTAGGAGTAGTTGCTCCAGAGATAGGGTCATAAGGGATGTGTGCTGGATACTAATCCCAGGGCCACAGATTACAAAGGTGCTCTACCACTGAGCCATACTCCCAGCCCCCTCACTGGGCGGATTCTAGGCAAGGGCCCTATCCCTGAGCCCTAAGAGATATTATCTGAGGTCTGCCCATATGTCTGGGCCAACTAGAAGACAAGAGCAGTGGACTAAGGTGGTCAGCAGGGACAGGTCTGTGAGGGCTCTATGTAGTGATATGCTGTCCCATCCTGGAATCCACATCTCTCATCCCTGTGGCAGTTCCGTGCCCTCTGTCCTGTCCCCCGATTGGGCATCTTCACTCCATCTACCTGACCCTCACCCTCTTTGCACCCACAGAGCTATGCAAAGACTAAGACCAGGGCTGAGGTGAGTGGCAGTGGCCGTAAGCCCTGGCAACAGAAAGGCAGCGGGCGAGCCCGGCACGGCAGCATCCGCTCCCCAATCTGGCGGGGAGGTGAGTTGGGCTGGTGGGGCTGGGGCTCCAGGTGACCTTTCCTGCAGGTGCCCATGACTGCCATCAGAGTGGACACCAGAGTCTACAGCTCATCATCCCCCTGGGGCAGGTGGTATAGCATGTAGGCACCTTGACCACCCTGTGCATGTCGGGGACAGAGCTTAGAGCTGACCACTCTCCACTTCTGCTCACAATTCTGTGTTTATGTGTACACATGTGCATATAAAAGTATGTGTAGAGGCCAGAGAGGTGGGAGTTGGGGGTCTTCCTCTTTTTTTTTTTTTTTTTTTTTTTTTGAGGTAGGGTCTCCTTGTAGTCCCAGTTGGCCTGAAACTATGTAGTCCAGGCTGGCCTTGAACTCATAGAGATCACCTGCCTCTGCTTCTGCCTCCCCAGTGCTGGGATTAAAGGTGTGTGCCACCATGCCCGGCCCCTCTTATTATTTTTTAACCTGTTTGTATGTGCACATGTGGAGGACAGAGGTCAGTTGGGCATCTTCCTCTATTGCTCCCCACCTTGCATTTTTGTATTTTTGGGGGGCTGGGGAAAGTTGAGATGGGGTTTCAAATGCAGCCATAGGTGGCCTGGAACTAGCTATGTAGACCAGGCTGGTCTGTGAAGTTACAGAGATTTCCCTGCCTCTGTCTCCCTGATGCTGAGATTAAACTTGTGTACTACCACGTCTGGTTTTGAGGCAGATCTTACTATGTAGCCCAGACTGGTATTTGCCATTTGCTGGAGTTACAGGCATGCACCTATGCCTGGCCATAGCTCCCCTCCTATCCCATGGCCTACCAGCTCTGCCAGCACAGGTGTGCCGTATCTCTTCCCAGCCACCACACTGGCCTGATGCCAGATGCCAGGCTGTTTTCTGACCCCCAAGCCAGGCAGTGGCCGGTACTTGCTCACACAGCTCTGTCCTCACAGGAGGTGTCGCCCATGGCCCTCGGGGCCCCACGAGTTATTACTACATGTTGCCCATGAAAGTGCGTGCACTGGGCCTCAAGGTGGCCTTGACCGTCAAGCTGATGCAGGTAGGGGGCAGTGCCATAGGAGGGAGCCTGGAAGACCAACCAGGGGCTTGGTGACCTCTGTACCCAGGACTCAGGGCTGGTTCCTCCCCACAGGATGACCTACACATCGTAGACTCCCTGGACCTGCCTACTGCAGATCCCCAGTACCTGACAGAGCTGGCGCTGTACCGGCACTGGGGTAGCTCCGTGCTCTTTGTAGACTTGTGAGAGCTCAGGGCAGGGCAGGATGGAGGGGGAAGAGGCCCGATGCCTATGTGCCACAGGACTCACCGCCTGGCTTCCATCTGTTCCAGGACACATGGGGAGACACCCAATAATGTGGTGGAGGCCATCTCCCGGCTCAAGAGCTTCAACCTCATCCCTGCAGTGGGTGAGTCACAGCCCTGCCTGGCCCCATCCCAGAGCCCACATTCAGCAGGCTCACACCTGCACCTGTCATCAGGTGGATCAATGGTGAATTGAGAAGCAACCCTCATTGTTCCATTGAGAGGTTTCTTTAGTTGAGCTGGAGATGGCACCCATGGCCTTGCACACGCTAGACAGGGGCAGGCTGCAGTTCCACCCAGTGATGACACTCCCCACATACCCAACGGAGGGCGGCCCTTAGCACCTGGGTGATGGCCCATCCATCCCTCCTCATCTTTAGTCTTCAGTGGCTCCTACCTTCCCCTGCAAGCTCCTGTCCTGCTACTCTCCTCCTTCCCTTCCCCTCTCGCTGTGTCCACCTGGCTCTGGTCTCCCAGTGGTACACTGCTTATCCATTCATTGAGTCCTCCCCACTGATCTGTGGCTTGGGGTCCCAGTCAAATACAGGGAAGAGCCTGGAGATCCAAAGGCAGCTGAGGTGGGATATGAAGTGGGGTGGTGTACTTCAGGGGAGGACTAAGGCTGGGGCTTCAGATGGGAGTAGGCTTGGGCAAAGCCACTGGGCAGCCACATCCTGACCATGCCCTCCCTCTCCAGGCCTGAATGTGTACAGCATGCTGAAACACCAGACACTGGTTGTCACTCTACCCACTGTGGCCTTCCTGGAGGAGAGGCTTCTGTGGCAGGATTCCCGCTACACACCGCTCTTCCCTTTCCGCCTGCCCTACAGTGATGTCCCCTGACCCTGCCATGCTCACCAGGGCCCTGATGCCCACTTTCCTGCCCCCCTGGAAGCTGGCCTGCGTACCTGCCACCCTGAGAAAAAGCTGCTTCCGGGTACCACTTCGAAGCTGTCCAAACTGTCTGCAGGAAACAGACCTCAACCCTGTAGGGCCAGAGATAGGATGAGTACCTCCTGGGTCTTGTCACCTTGAAAAGAAAACTTATTTTTCACAGCAAGAGTTAGAAGTGGACAGCCACTTTTCACATCTGGAATCTCATGGCCCTTAGGCTCCTATCTGGTCCTGGGCATTTCAGGAACCCCTCTTCCAGGACTGGTAGCCTCAGGGCTATGGATAGAAATTGCCAGCAGGGTCTTACCCCGAGGAAGATGATGGAGCCTGCAGAGGTCCTGAGTCCCCCTGCAGATGCCTTCCATTCACATAAGCCAGTGTGTCTTGGGAAAAAAGAATGAATAAACCTGTTTAAAGACACCATGCCCATATGCCTAGGTTTTAAAAGTGTTTTTGTGGTATTCGGGATATAACCCGCATACAAGGCAAGGGCTTGAGCTACACCCCAGGGATTCTAGATAGTGGGGTGTTTTTGGTCTTTTTGAGTCAGGGTCTCCCTGTAGCCCCAGCTGGTCTGGAACTCAAAGAGATTGCTCCCCCGACCCCCTCCCAGTGCTGAGATTAAAGGCGTGCACTGCCATGCCTGGCTCTAGACAGTGTTGTGTTTTGTTTTTGAGGAGAGCAAACACTTAGAAAAGTCTCAGAGAGTGTGCAGGCTTGCAGGGAGTAATACCCAGCTCTGTCTCTTACAGTTAGCAAAACAGGAAGCAAACTGGCCAAAACTCTGTGAAGGTGCCTACAACCATTCCAGCAGTCACACCCCAGCTGCTAGGCTGCCTCTGGCTAAAATACCCCTGTAATGTACAGGGATTGCCCTGAGATCACAGTGACTAGACAAGTCACTGAAGCCCATGGGGAGCATGGTGCTCTAATCCAGTGCCCCAGAGACTGGGAGGCTGGAGTATTTTAGTTAAAGGATAGCCTGGGCTACAAAGTGAGCTGTTAAAACAAGGCAGGTGGCATGGTGGTACACACCTTTAGTCCCAGTACTTGGGAGGTAATAAACCTTAATAAAGCAACCTTAGGTCTGTTCAAAAACAAGCACACCACAGAACAAGCCATTGGAACAAATTATAAAAATTGTGCCGAGGCTAGACCAATGTTAGGTGAGACTGTTACTGATACCTTAGTTGTGCCCCTTGTGCTACTAATGGGCACTGAGGCCTGGAAAGAGTCCTGGCTCTCCTGACCATCCCCTGCCTAGCAGGGACAGTTCTGCACTTCCACCTACCTCAGAACTTTCATGAAACCTAGAGACAAATCACTACCCCCACTATTTTCAAGAAAACGAATCAGAACCCTTTTCTCCATACTTAAGATCCTTCAGAGAGCTCCAGGAGGGGAAGGGCAGCCAAAGAAAGCCAGACTGTGTCTAGAATGTTCTTTCAAGTTACTAAGATGGAGCCAGGTGTGGAAGTGCAGGCACTTGGGAAATAGAGGCAGGAAGATCAGGAGTTCAAGATCATCCTCTGCTATGTAGATTGAGGTTAGCCTGGGCTAGGTGATGCATAGACAGCCACGCTTTGCAAGTAGGATCGCGGCTGCAAATGGGTTCCGGCCACGCGGGGGCGCTCGTTGCTCACGCACATGGAACAGGGGACCAAAAGTTCCCCTGTGGAGACACACCATCCCCAGAATAGTACGTGCAGAGGATTTCCCCAGACCCTGTGTGCAGCAGGGGTCTCCCCTCAGGTCACTCTGTGGCTTTGCCCAGGCTGTTCCGGGGCGGGGACTGAATGTTTCCCCCTTCTACAGTGCCCCCAAGATTAAAAGATCCCCGTGGAAATTCCTTAGGAATGCCCAGGTCGCGGGTGTGCACGTGGAGTGCCTGCAATCCCGACCTGGGAAGAAAAGCACTCGCATCCCGGGACCTCTCCCTTCCTCTGCTGCTGCAGGACCTCCTGGCCCCAGCAGGTCTCCATGGCAACGGCAAAACGCATCCCACAACAGGAAGTCTTAGTTGGTCCTGGGGCCAGGGATGCACCAGTATCCGCGCCCCCAACCCCCACATCCAGTTTGGGGGACCAAAGTGGGGAAGAACGGGATTTGAGATTTCTCCTTACCCTACTCCAGATCACCCCTAGAGGTTGCCTCAGTTTCCCTTCAGAAAGCAAAGGTTCCAATAACCAGGCATGGTGGTGCATGCCTGCAATCTCAACACTCAGGAGGTGGAGGCAGGAGCATCAGGAGTTCAAAGCCATCCTCGACTACAAGCAGAGGCCAGCCAGAGCTACATCAGACCCTGTCTCAAGAAATGAGAGGAAGAGAAGGAGGGAGGGAGACACAGAGACAGAGAGATGGAGATAAAGCGTTCAAGGTCTGACTGGGCTGTATGCGAATGTATTAAGAAAGGAGAGAGACTGAGCTGGGGAGATAGCTCAACAGTTAGAACAGTTGCTGTTCTTCCAGGTTCGATTCCCAGCACCCACATGGCTGCTAACACCCGTCTGTAACTGGTTCAGGGGCATGGGAAACCCTCTTCTGCCCTCTATGGGCCACTGCACACATGTGCACTTAACATACATGCAGGCAAAACAGTCATACACATAAAATAAAAATAAATCTTTTTTTAAAAAAGGAGAAGGGGCTGGAGAGATGGCTCGGAGGTTAAGAACACTGGTTGTTCTTGCAGAAGACCTGGGTTTGAATCCCAGTACCCACATGGCAGCTAACAACTGTTCCTAACTCCAGTCCCAGGGGATCCAACAGCCTCTTCTGACCTCCACGGGCATTGCACAACACCGGTGCACTTACCTACATGCAGCAATACACACATACACATAAAATAATAAGAAGAAAAGGCCTGCGTGTAGAGGCTCTACCTTTAATCTCAACACTCAGGAGGCGGAGGTAAACAGATCTCCGTGAGATGGAGGCCTAGTGAGGTTTACATAGTAAGTTCTAGGTCAGCCAGGTCTATATACTGAGACCCTGCCTCCAAAAAAAAAAACTGCTCTGTAGCCCACTCACACAACCAGGATTCAAACTCAGGGCTGTTGGTTTTTCAATTTGTGGTTTCCTATCAGAAAATAGAAAAAGAGAGAAGAAAGAGTTAGCAGTTAGCCTTCAAGGCCAGCCTGAGCTATATATATGGGGACATTATTCTCAAAAAAGAGGAGGAGATCTCCAAAAGGGGGGGGATACAAAGAAAAGTTTCCAGCACCTCCTCTTTGAGGATCAGGTTGGAGTTCTGCCTCAGTTTCCCCACTATGCCTGGCAAACAGCAACCACTGTACTCCACGAGACAGAACCACGAGAGAGACTTCCTTTTTCCGGGAGCTGTGACAAACCCCCGCTACCCCCTCCCCCGCAGTCAAGACCAAAAAGGGGAAGTGAGGCCTGGGGGAGGCACCCATGGGTGGGGAGGGCTCACTCCCACCCCCTCCGGACCTGAGGAAGTCCTGCATGCACCCATCACTTGCAGGGTTCATGGTGATTGGGCCTGCTCATCAACTTCTGGAGAATTCTCAAGTGTCAAATAGGCGGGGACGTGGCCCTGTAGGAAGGGGAGGGCCACCTCAGAATGGAAGATGCCCTAAAATGAACTCAGGGTTCCCTCCTAACCCTGGCAAAGGTTTATCTGGTGGCTTAGGGGTCTAAAGAAGCTGCGGGTTCAGGACTTCAGTTAAAATCTCCACACAGCGCCCAGCCTCGGTTTGCCCCTCTGCCAGAGGGTGATGCTGCAGCCGGATTGGATTTGTCAATGAACCTGGAGGCCTGGAGCCACCTCGCCTCTCCTGGGTTCACCTCTCCCTGGCTTTGGCACCACCGCTGTCAGTGCTCCCCCCGCCCCAGCCCCCAAACCATTGCTTCAGTTTGGAAATTCCTGGGCTGCAGCAGCCAGAGAGGCAGGACCACCCCTGGCACCCTCTCCATCAGGAAATGCCTAAGTCCTGGTTCCGGAGGGAAGGCGTGAGCTTTCCGGGAAACCAGAGGCACCAGCACCGCCCCTCGCTCTGGGGGCCGGCGAGTATAAAGAACCGTGCAGGCTCTCCGTGCGGAGTCCCCACCCAGCACTTCTGCCCAGCAGTGCTGCCACCTGCACGCTGCCTTGGACTTGCTATGGCTCCTACTCGCACCAGGTCCCTGCTGCCTCTGCTACTGGCCTTGGCCACCGTTCTGATGTCAGGTGAGTCCGAGGTGGGGTAGGATTTGGGGGGACAGGTCCTCAGAGCTCGGGTGGGACATCACACCATTCCTACTTAGGTGGTTGCTTATTGGAAAGTGGGCCTGGAAGCCTAGGATTGAAAATCAAAAGCCCTGAGTTCGAATCCTGACTCATCTTCATGAGTGGGCTACACAACACTCTTTCTTCACTCCCTCCCTCCCTCATCCCTCCTTCCTTCCTTTTCCTTTCTTTTTTTATTTTTATTTTATTTTTTACTTTATTTTATTTTATTTGGTCTTTTTGAGACAGGGTCTCTCTGTAGCCACAACTGGCCTGTATTCACCATGGAGACTAGACTAGCCTCAAACTCACAGAAATCAGTCTGGCACTGCCTCCCAAGTGCTGGGATCAAAGGTGTGAGGCTCCACATTGGCTTTCTTTCTTTTTGAGATAGGGTCTCCCTGTAGCCCTGGCTGGCCTGGAACTCACTATGTAGACCAGGCTGGCCTCTATTAACAGAGAGCCTCCTGCCTCTGCCTCCTGAGTGCTGGGATTAAGGGCATGTGCCACCACTCCACCTGCCCCTCTCCTTTTTGGAGAATAATGTTCCCATATGGAGCCCAGGCTGGCTTCAAATTCATGTGTAGTCGGGCTGGCCTTAAACTATCTATCTTTGTCATCCTCCTGCCTCAGCCTCCCCAATGTGTCCAGCATGCCCTGTAAAATCACACCTTTTGAACCCGGGTCCCTCTTGTAAAATGGGAGCTGTGGTCACAACTGACTAGCAGGTACTAGGTTGTTGGATCTACCAGCACCCAGTCCCTGGCCATGATCAGATCAGTACGTGATCTAAGCTGAGTAGATGAGGATCTGACCCCTCCCCATACTGGGTTCCTCATCCTCAACCCTGGGGAAGTCCAGGTTGCTTGTGTGCTGGGGAATTCCAGGGTCATCTTACTCAGGAGCTGAGAAGTGAGACCAGCCAGGACTCCCCAAAGCTGCCCTCCCCCACTCCAGCCAGGCTAGGGGGAAGGGAGGACACCCCATGTTGGGGCCTGGGACAGGAAGGTTCAGGACTCCTCATCAGCTCACAGAAGGCTTCTAACCTGGATCCCCAAATTCGTGGCTCTTAGCTCAGTCATCTACTCTTTCTAATCTGGAATTCCTTAATTTGTGGTTCAGTCACTCTCTCTTTCTTGGCCTCCCGATGAAAGTTGTTGAAAGTTGTTGTCCATGAAGTGGGAATAATTCCACAGTCACCTTGGACAGTCTCCAGCTGTTGTACTACTTCCTCCCCAGACACAGCTAATTAGAGTTCTGGAATCTCTGGGGGAGGGAGAGCTGGCCCCAGACACTTTTAACTTAAATTTTTTAATTTTTGAGAATGTCATACAATGTCATACATTGTCTGCATTATTCCATCCCCCACCAACTCCTGTGTCCTCCCCAGTAGATATAAATAAACATATATGTATGTACATACTATATATGTTTTTATATATAGTGTGTGTAAGTGTTTTACCTGCACGTTTCTAAGGGAATGCATGTGGAAAACAGCTGTGAGCCGCCATGTGGGTGCTGAGACCTGAACCCAGTCCTCTTCAAGAGCAGCCAGTTCTCTTAACTACTGAGCTATCTCTCCATGCCCAAAAGTTCGTTGTTTTTAATTTTTTTGTTAGATTTTATTTCCTTGTTGTACATGTATGTGTACATGTGCGTGTGTCATGGTGTATGAGTGGAGGTCAGAGGACAACTTGTAGGCAGGAGTTGGCTTTCTCTTTCCTTCCCCCATGTAGGTCCCGGGGATGGAAAACAGGTCTGCAGACTTGGTAGCAAGCACCTTTTTCTGCTGAGCCATCGCAATGACCCTCTTTCAGTACTTTCAGATAAGATCTCTGTATGTAGCCCAGGCTAGTCTGTAACTTGCTCTCTAGTCCAGACTAACCTCAAACTCATGATACTGCCACCTCAGCCTCCCAAGTACTAGGATTATAGACATGCACCACCATACCCACCTCCTCCTTCTCTTCATTCTTTTTTCTGTGTTGAGAATGAACCCCAAGGTTTTGTAAAGGGCTAGCCTAGTACTCTATGGCTGAGCCATATCCCCAGAGCTAATGGACACATCTTTAACATAACCACCCTGCCCAGAGGGTCTTCTCTATTTCACACACCCCCACTGTACCTCTGTTCCCCCTCTATGCCCTTTCAGCTCCAGCCGTGGTGCCTCAGGACCTTTACACTTGCTGTCCCTCTTCCTGGAATCTGCTTCCTTTTTCTCTACATAACCAGCGCCTTCTCAGCTCAAATTTGTCACCCAGGTTCTCTCTGTCCTGTCAGACCCTGCTTTGCTTTTGTCAAAACTCTTATTAATAGTCACTATTTTGGACTGGGCTGTTGCTCAGTGGGTAAAGCACTTGCCTAGCATGCACAAAGCCCTGGGTTCCATCCCCAGCACCATATAAACTGAACATGGTGGAGCATGCCTGTTATCCCAATGCTCCCAGCACCCACATGGCAGCCAACAACTGTCCCTAACTCCAGTTTCAGGAGATCTGACGCCTCTTCTGGCCTCCACAGGCATTTCATGCATGTGGTACACTTAAATACATGCAGGTAATACACTCACATACATTTAATTAATTAATTAACAATTAATTATATAACAAAACTTGTTTTTGAGACAGGGTCTCCCTGTAGCCCCAGCAGGCCTGGAACTTACTATGTAGACCAATCTAGCCTCACTCTCACAGAAATCTGCGTGCCCCTGCCTCCCAAGTGCTAGGATTAGAGGCATGTACCACCATGCCCGGCCAAAAAAAATTTTTTTAAAAAAACAATGTTAGCATTTAATGAACCTCCCTGTGTGATGTCAAGCCTTCAGGATACAGGCACCCCCAACACTCTTAATGTTCTCTGCTCTTCTGCTGAAGAGCTTGGCCTTCAGGATGACCAGCTGCTTAGGGAGCTTTCCCTTCCCCAGAACTTTGTAGTAGCCCCAGTACACCACATCAATCTTTTTGGCAACATTTACCCCTATCTGTTCACTGACCAGTGTCCACAATTTATCAAGGTTGACGGTTGGGTAGAAGCTTTGGTTCCTCTTTAAGTGGTACTGCCTCATACCAACTTTCCCAAAGTAACCTGAATGATATTTGTTGAAGTTGAGCCTGTGGTGATGCATGCCGCCGGCACTGCCCCAGCGTCCTGGGTGCTTCTGGTGTTTCCCAATGTGGCCATGGCCATGGCTCACATGGCCCTGGAGTGTCCAGGTCTTCCTCAGTCTGGATTGCAATGGTGGCTGCTGAAATGAAAGCCTTTTTTTTTTTTTTAAAGAAAATCCAGGAGCTGGAGAGATGGCTCAGAGGTTGAGGGCACTGGCTGCTCTTGCCAAGGACCAGGTTCTATTCCCAGCACCCACATTGGTGGCTAACAACCATCTGTAACTCCAGTTCCAGAGGATCCAATGCCCTCTTTTGACCTCCCAGAGCATTGCACAACATAGGTGCGCTTACACACATGCAGGCAATACATTTATATGCATAAAATAAAAATAATAAAATTTAAAGAAGAAAATCCAGCCTTTTTTGTAGAGAGCCAGTTTTCCTGGAGCACAATGGCAGGTGTCTGCCAATACACCAGATCATATGGTGCTGGGAATGGACCCAGAGTTTCATATATGCCAGTCAAGTGCTACATTCACTGAGCCCTAACCCAGCCCCTCAGTACCCATTATTAATTACCTTGTGTGCCTAGCAGCATGTCTGTGTCTCACACTGAAGGCAATCAAGGCAGCTTGCTCAGGACTTAGCCTTGAAGGCATGTTTTTTGTTTTGTTTTGTTTTGTTTTGTTTTGTTTTGAGACAAGGTCTTTCTTATAGCCCTCACTGGCCTTGAGCTCACAGAGATCCACTCCCTGACTCTGCCTCCCGAGTGCTGGAATTAAAGTCCCTGCTGAAGTCACATGTTTGAACCAGCCTCCTCAGGCCTGTCACCATTTTCTTCCAGGGCCTGGTGATGCTCAAATATCCATCTTCCCCAAAGAAGCCTTCCTACAACGAGGGACGTCCTTGCAGGTGAACTGCTCCACCTCCTGTAACCAGACCTTCACCCTGGGCTTAGAGACCAAGCTTCCCAAAACAGAACTGGCCAGTGGGCACAACTGGAAGCTGTTTGAACTGACTGACATCGAGGAAGACAGCCGTCCACTGTGCTTTGAGAACTGCGGCACCATCCAGGCCTCAGCCTCCGCATACGTCACTGTGTACTGTGAGTGGCAGGGCCAGGGGCAGAGCTGGGGAGCCAGGAAAGATGGAGGAGTGGCTGGGGGGTGTCTTTAATCCTCTGCCAGGAGAGTGCCACAGGAATTTAGGACTCTCCAGAATGTCCCCACTTGAAACCTCCATTTTCTGATTTTTAAATTTTGTTTTAGTGGCTGGGTTGGGTGGTACAAACCTTTAATCCTAGCACTCAGGAGGCAAAGGCAGGCAGATCTCTGTGAGATGGAGACCAGCCAGGTCTACATAATGAGTTCCAGACCAGCTGGCTACTGAGAGACCGTTTCAGAAAATGAAATAAAATTTACTTATTTTTCATTAATTTTAGTGTTTAGGGTTTTTTTGTTTTGTTTTGCTGGTCCCCCCTACCCGCCCCGTGGGGTTTTTTGTTGTTATTTTGGTTTGGGTTTGGTGTTTTTTTTAATTTTTAAATATTTTATTTTATTTTATTTTTTGGCCTTTTTAAGACAGGGTCTCCCTTAGCCCCAGCTGTCCTGGAACTCACTATGTAGACCAGGCTGGCCTTGAACTCATAGAGATCTGCCTGCCTCTGCCTCCAGAGTGCTGGGATTAAAGGCTGCGACACCCCACCTGGCTTATTTATTATTTTTATTTTATGTGTATGAGTGTATTGCCTGCATGTATGTGAGTGCACCCATGTCGTGCAATGCCTCAGAGGTCAGAAGAGGGCTTTGGATTCCCCTGGAACTGGAGTTTCATGGACGTTTCATGGGCAGTTTGTAGCTGCCATGTGGGTGCGGGGAATCGAACCCGGGTCCTCTGTGAGAGCAGTTAGTGCTCTTAACCACGGAGCCATCTCTCCAGATCTCTGGGTTTGCTTTTTATGAGGCAGGGGCTCCCATCTGGCCTGGGACTTGATATGTAGACCACGGCTGGACTTGATATGTAGACCACGGCTGGCCTCAATCTCACAGAGCTCCACCAGCCTCTGCCTCCCACATGCTGGGATTAAAGGCGTGGGCAGCAGTCTTTTTGTTTTTTTGAGGCAGTGTATTATGTAGCCCAGGCTGACCTGGAACTCATTATGTAGGTGAGGATGACCTGTTTCTACCTCCCAAGTGCTGTGCTGACAGGCATGCACCATCATACCTGCTATACTCCCATGCCTCATTTTAAACACAAAGCCCTAGTTCTGGTACTTGAAGATGCAGGGCTGCTTGAGTATGGTGGCACACATCTGTCACCCCAGCTACTCAGGAGGCTGGGGCAGGAGAATCACAAGTTCCAGGTAAGCCTGGATTATATATATATAGCAAGACACAGTCTCTGAACTCCAAAAAGAGGGACTAGAGAGACGGTTCAACAGTTAAGAGCACTGGCTTCTCTTGTGGATTCCCAGAGCCCAAGTGGCAGCTAACAACTGTGAACTCCAGTTCCAGGAGAATCTGACACCCTCTTTTGGCCTCTGTGGGCATTGCATGATATGGTTGCACTTACATACATGCAGGCAATACACTCATACACATAAAATAAAAATAAATAAATAAAAACTTCAAAAAGAGGGGCTGGAGAGATGGCTCAGTGGTTAAGAGCACTGACTGCCTTTGCAGAGGACCTAGGTTTGATTCCCAGCACCCACATGGTGGCTATGAACTGTCCCTAACTCCAGTTCCAGGGGAACCTGACGCCCTCTTCTGACCTCAGCATTGCTTGACATGGGTGCACTCACATACATGCAGGCAATACACTCATACACATAAAATTAAAAAACAAAACAAAACTCCCAAAGTGCCAGGTGTGGTGGCAAATACCTTTAAGTGGTGCTCTTAACTGCCAAGCCAGCTCTCCAGCCTCCCTATTTGTAGTTTAAGAGTCTGGCTTCAAGCACTTTTCCTGCCTTTACCTCCCAGGTGCTAGGATTACATGTATGTACCATCATGTCTTTAAATCATGTATACTTGTGCCCTGGAATGTCAAAATTTCAATCTTGGCCAGTATGGTGGTGCTCTCCTTTAATCCCAGCATTCAGGAGGCAGAGGCAGGTAGATCTCTGTGAGTAGGAGGTCAGCCAGGGCTACACATCTTGTCTCAAAAACAAACAAACAAAAATTTTTTTGGACCCTAGGAGGGTCTCTCCAACAATGGAACTAGTCAGAGGTCTGAGGTTATTCAGCCTCTTGGTGCTGGAGATAGGAACAGCCAGAGCTTTGCCAGGCACATGCTCTGTCACTGAACCACAACCCCAGTGCACACTGCAGCTATGTTTGAAAGGCGAAAGTTTACAAACTACTCAGAGATAGGGAAATAAGGTTTGGTTTGGGCATATCATGGACTAGTATGCAACTATATCAAAGAATGAGGAACCTTCTGCCTGCCAGAAGAGAATGAGCCCCACAGTGTGTGAGAAGCTAAAAAATAAGTGAAAGGCGTGGAGAAGGGGCATAGAGATTTCTGCATTTGAGATCAGATGGGCAAGATGAGGGAGGCTGTATTTACCCACAAAGGAGCCCTAAAGAAATGCAGAAATGCCCATAGTCCCCACTACTTGGGAGGATGAGAAAGCCTGGGCAGCACAAGAGATGCTGTCTCAAAACAGGATTAGGATTGCCTGGGGAATGTAGCTCAGGTGTAGAAAACTAGCCTAGCATGAGTGAGTAGCCTTTATTTGTTTAGCATTGGTGGGGATAGAAGAAGGGTCACACATGATAGACCAGAGCTCTACTACTGAGACATGCCCCAGCCCAAGTGGCTTTGGCTTTTGATTTAGTGCCCTAGAAGCTCGGTGACCCTGGGGGACATGGCTTTGAGGTTTACTTTTCTACCATGTGAGCTCTCAGATGGGTGCAAAGCAGGAAAGTCTAAAAGCTGGCCGACTCTAGGGGCACCTGGACAGAAGCCTTTGGGTAAATCTGAGCTTGGCTTGTGAATTGGAGGATGTGAGGTGTACAGGTACTGTCCTGCAGGGAGGGAAGCCCCCAAACATCCCTGGTGGACTTTGAAAATCCCAGGGAATTCTCTTTAAAGAGCTACCTGGTATTTGAGAATTCAGTGGTCTGGTAGGAGCCCTGAGTGTGCAGTGTTTCCGTATCTGTGACTTCGGATGTTCAACTGTGCATTTATTTCTACCTCTGAGAAAAAAAAATAGATGAGCCAGACAGATGTAGTGGAGCATGCCTAGATTCCCAGCACTGCGGAGGGTGAAGCAGAAGTGGTACCAGTTGAGGGCAGCCTGGCCTACAGAGTAAGACAGTGTCTCCAGAAGAAAAAAACAAACGTACTGAATAGCAAGCAGGAGAGGCTAGGGAGCTGGTTCTTGGAGAGGACCTGGGTTTGATCCAACACTCTCTTCTGGCCTCTGTGAGCACTGTGCACCTATGGTGCACTTACATGCAGGCAAAACACTCATACACGTAACTTTAAAAAATAAGATAAAAGCAGGGTGTGGTACGCACATTTTTTTTTAATTTAAAATTTAAATTTTTTATTTTATTTTTTATTTTATGTGTATGAGTGTATTGCCTGCATGTATGTGAGTGCACCTGTGTCATACAATGCCGCGGAGGTCAGAAGAGGGCTTCAGATTCCCCTGGAACTGGAGTTAAGGACAGTTCGTAGCCGCCATGTGGGTGCTGGGAATTGAACCCGGGTCCTCTGCAGGAGCAGTCGGTGCTCTTAACTGCTGAGCCATCTCTCTGGCCCCGGTATGCACATTTTTAATCCCAGTAGAAGTAGGCAGATTTCTGCGAGATCAAGGCTAGCCTGTCTACATAGTGAGTTCCAGGCCAGCCAGGGCTACACAGTGAGACTGTGTCTCAAAAAAGAAGAGGAGGAAGAAGAAGAGAGGGAGAGGGAGGGGGAAGAGGAAAAGGAGCTTAAAAACACCAAAAAAAAAAAAAAAAAAAAAGTCCAAAAACCAGAGAGAAAGAGAGGAAAACAAAACAACAAAAAAAGGATGGGCATCTGGGCAAAGGGAGGAGGCTGGGCAAAGGATGGAGTTCGGAAAATTCCTCCTGGACACAGAGAAGCCCCACATGGCTAGGTGGGTTTTGTTTCTTTCAGGACTTGGGACTGTCTTCTCCTTGAGAGCTAGGGACACATGGAGGGCAGTGAGCAGGCTGGGGAATCCAGACAGCAGGAGGCTTCATTTACAGGAAGCCAGACAGCAGTTGGCAGTGAGCCTTGGCCTGACTGCACACATTGCTCAAGATTGCAGCCTCTAAAACAGGGGAAGGGCACACAAATATTTGAAGAATGGGGTGACCAGATTTTGGTGAGGGATCTGGCTAAGGCCAGATCACATTCCTGGGAAATGGGGCACCAGAAACTGCTGGGTACTGTTTGGCCAACTGAAGTTGAAAAGGGCCTCAAATTCTACAAGTCGGATTCAATTATTAATTTATTTGGGGGAGACACACACGCATGCCCTGGCACATACATTTGGAAGTCAGAGGACAGTGTGTGGGACTCAGTTCTCTCCTTCCACTGTGTGAGTCCTGGAAATCAAACTCAGCTCATCAGGCTTGGAGGCAAGCCCCTTTACACTGAGCCATCTTACTGCTCCCAGCCCGTTTTTGTTTTGTTTTCTTTTTTAAGATATCCTATAGCCTTGCTGGGCGTGGTGGCGCATGCCTTTAATCCCAGCACTCAGGAGGCAGAGGCAGGCAGATCTCCGTGAGTTCAAGGCCAGCCTGGTCTACATAGTGAGTTCCAGGACAGCTGGGGCTACAGGGAGACCCTGTCTCAAAAAGACCACAAAAAAAAAAAGTTATCCTATAGCCCCAACTGGCCTGGAACTTGCTATTGAGACCAGGCTGGCCTCAATCTCACAGAAATCCACCTGCTTCTGCCTCTCTTGAATGCTGGGATTAAAGATGTGTGCTACCATGCAGTACCACCCCCACCCCTCCATATCAAGTGTGTAACTTGACATGTAGCTGAGGATGACCTTGAACTCCTGATTCATCTGCCTCTTCATCCCCAGTGCTGGGATGACCTGTGCACCACCATGCCTGCTTTGTGCAGAGCTGGGCATGGAACCCAGGGCTTCCTACATGCTAGGCAAGTGCTCTACCCATGTAGCCACAGCTCCAGTCCTAACGTTTATTGGGATATCCTTTACATAACCATAGAATTTGTAACTCAGTGGTAGAGCACTTACCTAGCATGTGAGGCCCTGGTTCTAGTCACAGTACTAAACTTTTTTCTTTTCCTTTGTTTTAGTTTTTTTTTTTTTTTTTGGATCTTTTTGAGACAGGGTCTCCCTGTAGTCCCAGCTGGCCTGGAACTCACTATGTAGACCAGGCTGGCCTGGAACTCACAGAGATCCACCTGCCTCTGCCTCTGGAGTGCTGGGACTAAAGGCGTTCGCCACCACGCCCGGCTTAGTTCTTTTAAATGTACTATTTGATGAATGTGTGGGTGTTTTGTCTTTGTTTTTGTTTTTGAGCTAGGGTCTGACTATGCAGTCCTGGCTTTCTTGGAACTCGCTATGTCTACCAGGTCTTCCTGGTCTACTAGGCTGGCCTCAAACTCACAGAGATCTGCTTGTCTCTGCTGGGATCAGAGGTGTGCACCACTGTGCCTGGCTGGCTTGATTTATTTTTCTCTGTTAGTATGTGTGTATGATGGGGAACGGCATCAAGCATGCCACAGCACACACGGAATTCAGAGCACAGCTTTGTGGCATTGGCTCTCTCGTTCTAACTTTACATAGGATCCAGGGATTGAACTCGGGTCAGGCTTGCTCTGCAGTCGCCTTTACCCATTGAGCCATCTCACTGGTCCACTTTTATTTTATTTTCAGTTGTTTTATTTGAGAGGGGCAGGGGGGTGGAACCTAGGGCCTCCTCCCTAGGCCTCTATTGGGTCACCCCTCTCCCCATCCCTCAGAGTCTCTTAAAAATCAATGTTTAGCAAACCAGGCTTTGTAGATTTATATTTATTTTTGCTGTTTCCTGGTGATAGACTTTGAAACTTCTCTTCACTTATCATTTATGGCTGTTGGGAATACTTGCCTGATCTTTGAACACACTCCTGACCTCTTGACGGTCCCTTGCACACACTCCTGGTCTCTTGCCTCGCTTTTGTCAGAGTTCTTAGCATTCCTGGCTGCTTAGCTAGTGTGCTGTGTTTCAGGAGGACCAGGAGGGGGTGGTGTCCCCAGGCTGGTGTGGTCTAAATGAAGTAGCCCAGCTCATTCTGTCCCCACCTTCTTGTCTCCATACAGCCTTTCCAGAAAGTGTGGAGCTGGACCCTCTGCCCAGCTGGCAGCCAGTAGGCAAAAACCTCACTCTGCGGTGCCAGGTGCATGGTGGAGTTCCCCGGGCCCAGCTCACTGCAGTGCTGCTCCGTGGGGAGGTGGAGCTGAGCCGGCAGCCTGTGACAGGTAACCCCAGAGACCTCACTGAGATCACAGTCACCGTGCTGGCCAGCAGAGACGACCACCAAGCCAATTTCTCCTGCCGCACAGAGCTCGATCTCAGGAGACAAGGAGTGGCCCTGTTTCAGAATATCTCAGAGTCCAGGCAACTCCAAACTTTTGGTGAGCATGGGGAGCAAGGGAAGCAGTGTTCCTGTGTGGTCTGCAGAGTTCCTCCAAAGGAGCAGACCCTGGTCGTGGGGGAGGGCAGCAGAGAAGGTGGAGATCAAGATAGTATTAGTTTATGGGTTGGTGAGATGGCTCTTTGGGTAGAGGCCCTTGCCACCAAGCTTGACGACCTGAGTTCAATTCCCAGGAATCCACATGGTAGAAGGAGAGAACCAGTTCATGCAAGTTGTCCCTTGACTTCCACATATGAGCTCTGGCACATGTGTTCCCACACACAGACACAATCAATCAATCAATAAACAAATAAATAATAAGATAGGCATGATGGTGCTTGCTTTTATTCTATCAGTCAGTCAACCGATGAATAAATAAAAAGGCCGGGTGTGATGTGGCACGCCTTTAACCCATCACCGGGGAGGCAGAAACAGATGGAGCTCTGTGAGTTCCAGGGCAGCCTGGTCTACATAGCAAGTTCCAGAACAGCTGGGACTCTAGGGAGACCCTGGCTCAAATAATTAAATGAATGAATGAATGAGTAAACAATTAATTAATTAGAGGAAGAAGAAAAGGTTTGTGAGTGGCCAGCCCTGGCTCAGTCTATCTTCTCTCCCCAGAGCTGCCTGTGACCCTACCGAAGCTGGACACCCCAGTTATCCTGGAGGTGGGCACTCAGCACCTGGTGCTCTGCTCCCTGCAAGGCCTGTTTCCAGCCTCTGAAGCTCAGGTCCACCTGGAGGTGGGGGGACAAAGACTGAACCCCACCACCACAGGCAGCAGGGACTTGGTGTCTGCCACAGCCCCACTAGAGGTGACTGCAGAGCTGGAGGGCACTCAGCAGCTGCGGTGTGTGGTGGAGCTGGCAGAACAGACCCTGGAGGCCCAGGAAACCCTGAGCATCTACAGTAAGAAGGGGCAAGGCCTAGTCCTGAGTGTCAGCCGCTGGAGACTTCACTCACACCAGAGGAGCATTGAGGGGTTGGGGCATTAGTCTAGGCGGGAATTCCCAAAGGGCAGGGCCTAGTCTAGGTAAAGGATAGGGCCTAGTTTAGAGGAGAGCTGGTGCTGAAGGCAGGACTGACACCGAGGGCGTGGCCTTAGGGGAGGAGCTTTAAGGGGCGGGGCTGGCACAGGACTTTCAAAGGAAGGGGCCTGTTCCAGGGATGGAAAAGAAATCAGAAGCAGAGTTTTGAGGGGCTTAGGGCAAGGCTCACTGACAACTGAGGCTGAACTTTCAAAGAGCAGGCTGATGGAATAGGAGGGCCTCTACAGAGGCTGCTCCAGTGGGCGGGGCTTTATGTGCCTGGGACGGCAGCTCACTGTGAGCCCCGCCCCCCAGGCTTCCCAGCTCCCACCCTAACCCTGAGTGAGCCTGAGGTCTCAGAAGGAGGCCCAGTCACTGTGAAGTGTGAAGCCCACGGAAGATCCCTGGTGGTGATGTTGACCAGTGCTCCGGCCGGGCCACGGTCCCGGGAGATCCAGCTCACGCTGAATGCCAGCTCCAGGCTACCGTCCCCGGAGATTCAGTTCACACTGAATGCCAGCGCGGAGGATCACAAGAGACGCTTTTTTTGCTCAGCTGCCCTGAAGGTGGCTGGGCAGGTGCTGTACAAGAACCTGACCATGGAGCTCCATGTGCTGTGTGAGTGGAGCTTCAAGGGCCAAACACCCCGTGAGCCCCATCCCCCCATTTCTTCCCCCGTGGGCCCCCCCCCCCCTTTTTTTTCTTTTTTTTTTTTTTTTTTTTTTTTTTTGGGTGGGCGGTTTGTTTTTGTATGTTTGTTTGTTTGTGTTTTGTTTTTTTGAGACAGGGTCTCCCTGTAGCTCCAGCTGGCCTGGAACTCACTGTGTAGACCTAGATTGCACAGAAATCCCTGTCTCTGCCTCCCTGGTGTTGGAATTAAAGGTATGCGCCCCCACACCCTGCTCACACTACTATTTCTGCAGATGGCCCCCGACTGGACGAGAGCGACTGCTTGGGAAACTGGACATGGCCAGAAAGGTCCCAGCAGACTCTGAAATGCCAGGCCTGGGGGAACCCATTCCCCAAGCTCACCTGTATCCGGGAGACAGATGGCGCCTTGCTACCCATAGGGCTGGTGAAGACTGTCAAACGGGAGATGAACGGTACCTACATGTGTCACGCCGTGAACTCCCAAGGGAACGTCACCAGGGCTGTGTTCCTGACTGTGCTCTGTGAGTGTCTTAGGGTGCAGGGCTGGGTGAGGGCAGGGTCTTGTAACAGGTACACAATCCTCACCACTCCCTTTTGTCCCCCACTTCACAGACCACCACCAGAATAACTTGGTCATCATCATTTTAGTGACGTTGGCAGCCATCCTGGTCCCCATGGCCACTGCCATTTATCTTTATAATCGACAGCGAAAGATCAAGATATACAAGTTGCAGAAGGCTCAAGAGGAGACGGCCATGAAACTCAAGACACAAGCCACGCCCCCCTGAGCCGGTCCCAGGACAGCACCCCTCCCCGTGCTCAGCTGGTCGGTGCTGTGTTTGAACACAGAAAAATGGTGGACAGGGTTACCATTTATCCACACCCACCTCCTCAGTTTGTGACAGAGGACAGATGGTGGCCTCAGGATACAGATTGGCATTTCAGGCCATGTCATCTATACACATCCGACATCCCCCTCAGCTTCACACCTGGAGCCTCAGGACTGAGGGAGACTTGGGAATGGACTATAAGGAGGATCACTGAAGTCTGGCCTGGGCAGATAGGGATGGTGGAGGCTTACCCACAGCCTGTGGACCTTCAGCCAGTGACTACTGATGTCACTCCTAATAAGATCATGTGCTGAGGCCCTAAGGAAAAAAACCATCTCCAACAGACACATGCAGGCATGGAGACACAGCCCACATGCCTGCTGACAAACACCAGCTCAGGCACTAGTGTCCACTGACTGTCCCAACTCTTCATGAGATGTATTTATTAATTTGTAGTTTTATCTGGTATTTATTGAGTACCCTGCACTGATGCTAGAACAGTGAATAAGATGGACATATAGGTTCCTGTCTGGGTACCATTGTAGCTGCTATGCACTGTACAACAGAGCCTGGTGAAGTGGTCAAGTGGGGTAGGGTTTCTCCATTGGTTAAGTTGCTTTTCCTGACATGGGGTGATTTTTTTTGAGACAGGGTTTCACTAAGCAGTCCTGGCTGTCCTGAAACTCACTATGTAGACCAGGCTGGGCTCAAACTCACAGAGATCTACCTGCTTCAGCCTTCTGAGTTCTGGGATTAAAGGTGTACACCACCATGCATGTGGGTGGGGAAGTAGTAGTTAGTGGTGCCCATGCTGGGGACGAGGAGCACAGGGGACTCAGAGGGATCACCGAGAGTACATACATGACCACTGATATTCCACAAAGTGTCTTTGTGACTCACAAAAAAAAAAAAAAAAAAAAAAAAAAAAAAAAAAAAAAAAAAAAAAAAGCACTCCTTGCTGGGCATGGTGAGGAAGTTCAGGAAGAAACTGCTTCAACCACTTGAGCCCCCATGAGCTGTGTTGCAGCAAGCACCCCCCTCCCAGCTCTGAAGCCTTTTCTCTGAGTCAATAAAGAATTACATTGGCCTCAGCCTCTTGTGAGTTTGAGGGCAGGTGTCACATCCGCTTGAGTCCACTCTGTGCAGCCCTGACCTCCCACTTCCTCTGCAAAGAAAGGGCTGCCAGTTGGTCTAACCTCAGGGCTGCAGTCCAAATCTTGTTTTTGGTTTAATGACTTTTTGGGCCTTAAGTTCTGGTTCAGAAAAAAATGCAATGGCATTTGGTTGACAATAGACTCTGATGTGTCATTTATTTATATTTTATGTGTATGAGTGGTTTGCCTGCATGTATGTAAGTGTACTTGTGTCTTAACGATGCCCATAGAGGCCAGAAGAAGACCTGTAACTGGAGTTCAGTTGTTAGCTGCCATGTAGGTGCTGGGGAAAGAACCTGGGTCCCCTGCAAGAGCAGTCAGTACTCTTAACCACTGAGCCATCTCTCCAGCCCCAATGTGTCGTTTGTTTTGAGTTGAGGGGAGGCGGGTATCTTCAGCAGGCCTCCTGAGCCCTCTCTGGGGCAGGGCTAGGGAGCCTCCTTATCTGCCGGAGCAGCCTTGGCTCCTGGGCAGCCGACCTTCAGCCAGGGCTCTTTGCTATGGAGTCTGTGCCTCTCCTCCTGCTGTCACTTTTGCTGGTGGCCATCTCCCCAGGAGGTGGAAGCCCCCAGCTGGAATGGATGCAAAACCCTCCTACACCCTCAGGGACCTCAGCATCCTTCTGGGTGCGTCTAAGACCAGAGTTGGAGGCGGTGCCGCCGGGGGGCTCCGTGTGGCTTAACTGTAGCCACAGCTGCCCTCTGCCGGTGAGTGCCAACCTCCTCACACAGCTGAGGCAGGGAAAGATGCTCAATGGCTCTGGTTGGGCATCTTATCAACTACTGAATGTAAGGGCCTGGAGTTCCAAGGTGCGCTGCGTCGTCACCTGTGCTGGAGAAACACGTGAGGCCACCGCCAGGATCACCACTTACAGTGAGGAAGTCAGGGGCTCAGGCCCAGTTGGGGTGATGGTGGGGGGAGGATGGAGGACAGGGGTGGTTGATAGCTGACCTTCCCCCACTTTTTACCTCAGAACGGCCGCAAAGTGTGATCATGGAACCTCCTGTCCTAGTGGGCCACAAGTATACTCTGCGCTGCTATGTGACACACGTGTTCCCTGTGGGCTTCTTGGTGGTGAGCCTGAGGCGAGGTGGCCGAGTAGTTTATTTTGAAAGTCTGGAGCGCTTCACTGGTTTGGATCTGGCTAATGTCACTTTGACCTATGTGATTCGAGCTGGGCCCAATGACCTCTGGCAACCTCTGACCTGCCATGCGCGCCTTAATCTGGACGGCCTGGTGGTGCGAAGCAGCTCAGCCCCAGTTATATTGACAGTCCATGGTGAGGCACCCCGTAATCCCCAGGGACTTGATGCAGGAGGGGGTGGGGATGTTGCCACTCCCATAAAGGGCAAAAGAACAGGCCTGGGCTCCATGACAGGCTGTCCTCAAACCTCCATGCTTCCATTTCTCACTCCTGTTCCCAGCTCTGAGTCCGGCATCCAAAGCCTTGGCTTCTGCCTCCATTGCTGCACTGGTGGGCATCCTCCTGGCCATAGGGGTTACCTACATCCGAAAGTACCTGCTGATGCATTCCCGGTTGTAGACAGGATGTCTGATGACTGATGAGAGAGGAAAATAGAACCCTTGAGCAATTCAGAGACTTACTGGATCAATAAAGTCCTTTTCCTCACACAGCTTCTGTCCCATGAGTATTTGGAGGATGTGATGTACCTTCTGGTGGAGGCAATGTTGGGAAAACATTCACCTGGAATGCCCAAGGCCCCAGGTTCAATGCCCTTGTGGGCCAGGCATGGTAGCAGATATTTTTAATCCTAGCACTTAACGCTTCAGAGGCAGAGGCAGGCAGATCTCTTTAAGCAGGAGGCCAGCCTGGGCTACATAGCAAGCCTACATAGTGAGTTCCAGACCAGCCAGGGCTAATATAGCAAGACACTGTCTTGAAAAAAAAATTCCTTGTGTCCCTCAAGACATCCAAGATTTGTCCTTCAAGATTTACTTAGGATCCCGGAACCCTAGGCCCCCCTCTGAATAGTAACAACCTTTCCTTTTGCTGGTTTTATCTGGGCAGTGCAGATGGGTGCAGCTGGGGTGGGTGGGGACCCTGGGCTGGGGACAAGCCTCCTCTCTTATGGCTTTTCCTGATTGGCTCTGCTGATACACACAGTATCTCTGATTGGTCATTAAGTTTTCTTATCTATTTCCACTATAGATATTGCTGGTTACAAAGGGATGCCAAGGGTGGAGCAAGAGCTGGTGGTCCCCAGAGGTTGCCATTAATGTGGGGCGTGGAGGACTCCAGAAATGGGCTGGGCCACCTGAACATAGTAGAGAAAATAGATACCCAAGAGGAGGGCACCTCTATGGACTGACAGAGAGAAAGGGACAATCACGTGGGATGTCACAGGCTGGTGTACTGGCAGTGTGTTGGTTGTCACTTACCCAAGAAAGCATATAGGGAAGGGGTTTCCAAGTCTGGGGGAAGGGGTCAGAATCAAGGTCAAAAGTGTCCCTACTTGATCTCTGGGTCCAAGCTCCACACTGGTTACCAAGCAACACTGCACCAGGACTCTGGCGGGCTAAGGCGAAGATGTGCTTGGGGGAGACTGGCGCTCACACACTCGATGCAGACTCATGCCCGCTGCACACTGGGTAAATACAGACCCTGAGCCTGAGCAGATTCTAATTTAGACGCCCGCGAACGCTGTGCGCAGGCACACGTGTCCGGGAGTCACTGGCACTAGGGTCCCTGCCTTTTCCATCGCATGCGGCAGCGGAGGAGGACTTAGGGGCGTGGCTCGCATCGCCATCCGAAGGTCAAAAGCATCAGCTAAGGCAGACTCTTAGGTTCTCTTCTAGAACCATTTTTTTTTTTTTTTCCTGCATACTACGACTCCCCAAGGTTCTCCAAGCCGCACTCCTCCGCCTCCACGTATCCATTCCGGCTTCAAGAGGCGCTGGTGGGTGGAGCTAAAGATAGAGGGGGCGGAGCTTGGAGTACAAGAGCATTATCTTAGACCTAAGACCCAAGGTGGGTAGGGGTTTGGGCAGGGCCTCTCTGCATCCCTCCCCACCTTCGCCTGGGATGACGCGGGAGAAAGTGGTGCCCCCCGCCCAGAAGGCGCCAGACCATCAGGCCGACCTCTATGTAGACCTCTACCCCATTTTCTAGCTTGCCTTCACCAAGGCTGGGGAGCAGCCCGGTGTACGATTGCCTCCCGCCAATCCGCCCCTATCACCCGCCTCTACCACCGCCCCCTCCTTGGAAACCCAGTTACCAACGTTTAAACCAATCCCCGGGCGCAACTCTGCCACCCCCACACTCCACCCGCCGCGCGGTCCTCCCGGCCCCGGCTCTCCATCACTCCGGCACCCCTCGCCTCCTTGCGCTCTCCCCTCCCCGGCGGCGGCGGCGATGCCAGAGCCTACGCCAGGGCTACGCCGAGCGCTCCTCGGCCTCTGGGCTGCCCTGAGCCTGGGGATCCTCGGCATCTCAGGTAAGAAGAGCCCACCCGTGGATCCGGGTGGACAAGGCGGGGGCGGAGTTGACGGACCTGAGAAGGGGTGGCCCTCGTGTCCCCTCCAGGCTCCGCCTCTTCTCGCTTTCCATACTTGTGACACCACCTGGAGCCTCGGGTCTTCTTTCACCCCAACACACACCTCGCTTTCCCAGATCTGAAACCGGCACCCTTTTCAGATTCGGGGTGTTTTGACACCCAACTCCTTAAGTCAAAGACCCTGTGAATGTCCTGTCCCCTCCACCTTACATCCACCTGCTCTGTCGTGCACCGAGATGCTGGCCTTATCCCCACTCTCCATCCTCAAAGACCCTCAACTATCGTGTCTCAGGGGCGCCGCTCCCCCCGCCCTCCCCCGGAGCCCTGACAACTGGCTTTCTGGGGTTGTCTTCGCTGCTTCTTCCCTGAGTCCAGTCTCTGTGACTTCTTTCTTTCCGTGACACCCAGATTTGGGGAGACCCTCTTCGTCCCTCCCCCCGTCCTCCCTCTCCAGGGCCTAGAGAATCACTTGGTTCCCATCCCCCCATTTGGAGTCCCCTCCTCCACACCGTATCGCCCTCCCCCGCGCCCATGTTTTCCCATCCCTTGAGCCGAGTTTTGCAAAGACACCCTCAGAGAGAGCGCCTTCAAACTGAAAGGCTTGAGGGACTTCTGAGTTCTTCCTGGGTTGTGCCCTTCTCTTCCGGACACCCCTGATTCCGTCTATAGGGGTGCTAAGATTTCACAAAGTTGGGTCCCCAGGCTGAGTCTGTGCCCCTCCCCGGGCAGCGGCGGCGCAGGAGCCTTTCTGGGCGGACCTGCAGCCCCGCGTGGCCCTGGTGGAGCGCGGGGGCTCGCTGTGGCTGAATTGTAGTACCAACTGTCCGCGACCGGAGCGCGGTGGCCTGGAGACATCACTGCGTCGAAACGGGACCCAGAGGGGTCTACGATGGCTGGCCCGGCAGCTAGTGGACATCCGAGAGGTCGAGACCCAGCCTGTCTGCTTCTTTCGATGTGCCCGGCGCACCCTGCAGGCGCGTGGGCTCATCAGAACTTTCCGTGAGTTCTGGGTGGGCCACGCCCCTTTCTCTCCTGCAAGCCACGCCCCTTAGGTGCCTAGAACCCCCCCCCACACACACACACACTTTCAGGCTCCACCCAGTCTATGCCCACACCCTCCCCTCTAGGTCCTGTCATCCTAAACCAGCATGTTCCCCCAAACGGAGGTGTCTCTCCTTTGCAGAGAGGCCGGATCGGGTCGAGCTGGTACCCCTACCTGCTTGGCAGCCAGTGGGTGAGAACTTCACCTTGAGCTGTAGGGTGCCGGGTGCAGGACCCCGCGCCAGCCTCACGTTGATGTTGCTGCGGGGCACCCAGGAACTGATCCGCCGCAGCTTCGCCGGGGAGCCACCCCGAGCACGGGGCGCTATGCTCACAGCCAAGGTCATGGCGCGCAGGGAGGACCATGAGGCTAATTTTTCTTGCATCGCTGAGCTGGACCTGCGGCCACATGGCCTGGGACTCTTTGCCAACAGCTCGGCCCACAGACAGCTCCGAACCTTTAGTGAGTGTGGGGACCCTCACTGGCAGGTGTTCAAGAAGTCTAGAGGCAACTGGGCCTGGTAGTACATATTTGAGCAGAGGCAGTGAAATCTCTGTGAGATTGAGGCCAGCCTATTCTACATAGTTTCAGGCCAGGTAGGGCTACAGGGAGACCTTGTCTCAAAAAAAAAAAAAAAAAGTTTAAACACATATGCACTTACTTCAGTATTCAACAGCTGAAGTTTTTGCCTCTGTGTATTTTTACGTTTATTTATTTACTTGTATTTATTGAGTGTGAGGGGATATGCCCACATGTCACCATGGATCTGTGGCGGTCAGAGGACAACTTGTGGGAGTCGGATCTCTCCTCCCTCTATAGGGAATGGAACTGAGGCCACTAGGCTTTGTGGCAAGCACTTTTACTCACTGAGCCATCTCGCTGGCCCTTGCTTTCTGTATTTTGGGGATGAAACAAGATACTGCATGTAAATTGCTTAGTAATGCTTAGTACATAAATTTGAACTCTTGTTCTTCGACTCTCCCAGCCCTGCCTCCAACCCCCCCGAACCTGGCTGCTCCCCGATTCTTAGAAGTGGGCTTAGAAAAGCCTGTGAATTGCACTTTGGATGGACTCTTTCCCGCCCCAGAAGCCAGGGTTTTCCTGTCATTGGGAGATCAGAAGTTGAATCCTGATGTGATCCTGAACCAGGACAGCCTCGTGGCCACTGCCACAGCCATAGCCAGCGCAGAACAGGAAGGTGCCAGGCAGTTCATCTGCAACGTGACCCTGGGGGGCGAAAGCCTGGAGACCCAGGAAAACGTGACTATTTACAGTAAGGGGAAGGGTTTTGGAGACGGGGAGAGGGGCCAGAACACCAAGGAGGCGGAGCCTATACAAACACTGAATAGGTGTGGTCTGAGAGTTCTAAAGGGGAGGAGCAGATAGAAACTGCAAAATGTGGGCCGTGGTTTCAGAAACCTGAGAGGCGGGGCTTCGAATTGTTTGAGCAGATATGGGGACCCACCTTTAGTAAAAGGGTCGTGGCAAGTGACTCCCTCTCAATACTCCGCCCCCAGATTTCCCTGCACCTCTTGTGATTTTGAGTGAGTCGGAAGCCCAGGAAGGGAAGGTGGTGACTGTAACCTGCACGTCTGGGCCTCAAACCCTGGTCACCCTGGAGGGAATTCCAGCTGCAGTCCTGGGACAGCCCGCCCAGCTCCAGTTAAATGTCACTGAGGACGATGACAGGAGGGGCTTCTTCTGCGAGGCCACGCTCGAGGTGGATAAGGAGACCCTAAGAAAGAATGGGAGCGCTGAGCTTCGTGTTCTGTGTAAGTTCGTGTTCACCTTCCTCTGGCCCTGGCGAATCAATCACTAGCCGTCAGGCTTGGCTCCAAGCACCTATGCTTGCTGAGCCATCTCACCAGCCCTTGCATCTGTATTTTGGGGATGAAACAAGATACTGCATGTAAATTGCTTAGTCCACACTGAGTGCTTAGTACATGAATTCAAGCTCTATTCTTGGACTCACAAGCCCTATCTCTAACCTCCTTGTACCGCCACCTCTCTCCACACTCCGCAGACCCACCCAGGCTGGATGACTCTGATTGTCCCAGGAGCTGGACATGGCCTGAGGGGCCAGAGCAGACACTGCACTGCGAAGCTCGAGGGAATCCAGAACCTTCTGTGCACTGTGCCAGGCCTGACAGTGCGGCAGTGTTAGCTCTGGGCCTGCTGGGTCCAGTGACTCGGGCCCTTGCAGGAACTTACCGCTGCACAGCCATCAACAGTCAGGGCCAGGCAGTCAAGGACGTGACCCTGACGGTGGAGTGTGAGTACTGACGAAGCAGGGACATCTCTTCCTGGCGCTAGGGTGGCTATAATGGAAAGTTAAGGTGGGAGGCCATCAGGACAATTTAGATAGTAACAGTTTGGGAGGATGGAGACAGCTAAGGTCCCAGGGGTGGTTGGTGGGACTCAGTCAAAGACCTTAGAGCTCAAGAAATTCTAAAACAGTTCAAGGAGCTGGCAAGATGGCTCATTGGGTAAAAGCATTTGCTCCCCAAGTTTGATGGCCTAAGTTCAATTCCTGGAACACCCACATAGAAGCAGAAGAAGAGAAATCTACAGAAGTTGTCCTCTGACCTGCACACATGTGACATGGCATGTGCACCCACATACATCATACATACACAAAATAAATAAAATATAAATCCCAGCTGGAGAGCTAGCTCAGTAAAGAGTATTGGCTGCTCTTGCAGAGGACCAGGGTTCAGTTCCCAGCACCCACATCGTATCTAACAACTGTTTGTAACTCCAGTTCCTGGGATCTGACACCCTCTTCTGGCCTCCTTGGGCATTTCACACACATGGTGCACGCACATAGATGCAGGCAAAACACTCATACACATAAAATAAGAATAAATCTTTAAGAATAACGAAAACATTCCCCTCTTCTAGATGCCCCAGCACTGGACAGCATAGGCTGCCCAGAACAGATCACTTGGCTAGAGGGAACAGAGGCATCGCTCAGCTGTGTGGCACATGGGGTGCCGCCTCCCAGTGTGAGCTGTGTGCGCTCGGGGGACTCAGGGGTCGTAGAAGGGCTACTGCACGTGGCCCGGGAACATGCAGGTACTTACCGCTGTGAAGCCATCAATGCCAGAGGTTCCGCTGCCAAAAAAGTGGCCATCACAGTGGAATGTGAGTAAGGACGGCTGGGAGGACAATCCCACACAGCTCATCCTCTGTCCCCTGTGTGAACGCATCCACGCAACCCTCTGTTTCCTAGATGGTCCCAGTTTTGAGGAGCTAAGCTGCCCTAGCAATTGGACATGGGTGGAAGGTTCTGGAAGGCTGTTTTCCTGTGAGGCTGATGGAAAACCAGAGCCAAGAGTGGAGTGTCTGGGCTCTGAGGACTCCAGGGAGAGGCTGGCACTGCCACTCCTGTCCTCAAACTCTGGTCCCAGAGACTCTAAGGACCCCCACAATTTGACACCTGGAATCTACCTGTGCAATGCCACCAACCCGCATGGCTCTACCACCAAGACTGTGGTCGTGAGCGTGGAGTGTGAGCGGGGCCCAGGTGGGTGGGTGGGACGGGGTGTCCTCGGGTTCCCGACCCTCCCTGATGCCCCCTCCCTCTTGTGGCTGCTCTGCAGCACCACCCCAGATGGATGACTCCAGCTGTCCAAGTCAGCAGACATGGTTGGAAGGAGCCGAGGCTACCCCACTGGCCTGTGTTGCCCGGGGTCGCCCCTCTCCACGAGTGCTCTGCTCCAAAGAGGGGACCTCCAGGCCTGAGCGGCTACGTGTGTCCAGAGAGGACGCAGGGACCTACCGCTGTGTGGCCACCAATGCACATGGCATGGACTCCCGGACCATCACTGTGGGTGTGGAGTGTGAGTGAGGTTTGCACCAGGTGGAGGTGACTCAACACCTTAGGAAAGTGACTGGCAGGCTGGGGCCGTAGCTCAGTAGGTAGAGCCTAGCATGTGCAAAGCTCCAGTTTCCATGCCTAGGACCACATAAGTGGGCTGTGGTGACACACGCTTGTCACATGTTTGTCCCCAACACTGGGGATATGGAGGCAGGAGAGTTCAAGGTCACATCCTTGATTACATAGAGAGTTCAAGGTTAGGCTGGGATACATAAATTCAGAGAGAGAGAGAGAGAGAGAGAGAGAGAGAGAGCTGGACGTGGTGGCGCTCACCTTCAATCCCAGCTCTCAGGAGGCAGAAGTAGGCAGATAGATCTCCGTGAGATCAAGACCAGCCTGATCTACATAGAGTTCAAGGCCAGGGCTACATAGTGAGACCTGGTCTCAAAAAAAGGGGGGCGGCGGCTGAGAGCTAATTCAGCGCTTAAGAGCACTGGCCACTCTTGCAGAGGACTTGGTTTAGTTCTCAGCACCCACATGGCAGCTAACCACCCTCTCTAACTCCAGTTCCAGAGGATCTGATGCCCTTTTCTGGCTTCCATGAGCTTGCATGCATATGGTACACTTGGGTACATGCAGGCAAAACACACGCACACACACACTCACACACACACACACACATAAAATAAAAATAAATAAAATTAGGGGCTGGAGAGATGGCTCAGTGGTTAAGAGCACTGCCTGCTCTTGCAGAGGACCTGGGTTCAATTCCCAGCACCCACATGGCGGCTACGAACCATCCTTAACTCCAGTTCCAGGGGAATCCGAAGCCCTCTTCTGACCTCTGAGGCATTGCACAACGTGGGTTCACTCACATACATGGAGGCAATACATTCATACACATAAAATAAAAATAATAAATAAAATATTAAAATAAATAAGTAAAATTAAAAGAGAAAGAAAAGGGGGCTAGAGAGCTGGCTCAGCGGTTAAGAGCACTGGCTGCTCTTACAGAGGACCTGGGTTTGATTCCCAGCACCCACATGGTGGCTAACAGCTGCCTGTAACTCCAGTTCCAGGGGATCTGATGCTCTCTTCTGACCTTCACAGACATTTCATGGACCTACCTACATGCACTCATACACATAAAATAAAATATGAAGGAAAAGAGGGGGAAATAGTGAATTACAGTGGCTGGCAATTCAGAGAGCTCTGTACTAACCCCTTCAAGACAGAAGCACAACTTTTTTTCCCTTAAGCAAGTGAATTTTGGGAAGGGGGCTCTGATGGGAGGCATTGCCCAGCCCAGGAGGGTTGGTTAAGGCCTATTGTGGGGGAATCCCTGCTCCCAGGAGGACACTTGACTAGGCTCAGGCTAAGTAGCCCTGTTGTGCTCCTGCAGACCGGCCAGTAGTGGCCGAACTGGCAGCCTCACCCAGGAATGTCCGTCCAGGCGGGAACTTCACTCTGACCTGCAGGGCAGAGGCCTGGCCTCCTGCCCAGATCAGCTGGCGTGCTCCCCCAGGGGCGCTCAATTTCGGCCTGTCCAGCAACAACAGCACACTGATTGTGGCTGGCGCCATGGGCAGCCACGGTGGCGAGTATGAGTGCTCAGCCACCAATGCTCATGGGCATCACACACGTCGCATCACCATTCGAGTGGTGGGTAAGTGGAGGGTGGCTAGGGTGCAGGTGGGATGATGGAGGTGCATGAAGGCTGACCTAGGCCTTGGGGACCCTGACTGGTCTCCATCTCTCAGTGTGAGAGACCAGAGTGGGCAATTAGAGAGGTCAAGGCCACCTGATGGGTATGGCTGTGGATAGCAGGTTAGGAAAGGGAGTGGTGGTAGAAAGAGGGGACAGAATTGAGGGGCAGTGCTTCACCCCTGTAATCTAACTGTACCCTAGCAGCATAGGAGGTAGAAGCAGAAAGGTCAAGCGTTCAGGGTCATTCTTGGCTACATCATGAGTTTGAGGCCAGCCAGGGCTATATGACACCCAGTCTCAAACAAACACAGGCTACAGACTGGTCATGGTGGCACATACCTTTAATCCCAGCACTCAGGAGGCAGAGGCAGGCAGATCTCTGTGAGATCAAGGCCAGCCTGGTCTACATAGCGAGTTCCAGGCCAGCTGGGGATACAAGGAGACCCTGTTTCAAAAACAAAACAAAATAAAAATAATACACTAACAATTTATGATGAGCTGGGCATGGTGGCACTCCCCTTTAATCCCAGCACTCAGGAGGCAGAGCCAGGTGAATGGCTGTGAGATCAGGTCCAGCCTGGTCTACATAATGAGTTTCTGGCCAGGAAGGGCTACATGTGAGGCCTTGTATCTAAAACAACAAAATAAAATAGGAGCTCTGGGGGTGTGGGTTCTGGGGACAGGGGAGAGATGTAATCCATTTCACTCTCCACTGTCACTGTGGGAAGCTGGGTTGGCAATGGACTCAGAGTAGCTGATGGGGGGTTCCCTACCCACCCCCACTTCATGTCACTCTGGGGCGGGGGTCTGTGTAAGTTGGAGGAAGGCTGCTGACATGGTCCCTTGGAACCTCCTTCTCTTTGGGAATGGGAGAAGTTGGGTCATTATGAGAGTGTATGTGGAGAGGGGAGGGTGGAGAGGGTGTGGAGTATCCAAAGGCTTATATTCCCATGGTATGAGAAAGATGTGCATTGGTTTTGGAAGGTCTCCTGATGCAAGTGAGGTCTTCCTGAGTCCTCTTCCTCTTCTGGGTGCAGGCGACTGCAGGTGCTCAGAGGGATGAGGGATGCTGAGGTTTGCCCACCCTGAGTGAGGGTCTCCACCCTCGCAGGTCCGTGGCTGTGGGTCGCTGTGGGTGGTGCAGCAGGGGGGGCAGTGCTGCTAGCTGCAGGGGCCGGCCTGGTCTTCTACCTGCAATCAACGGCTTGCAAGAAGGGGGAGTACAACGTGCAGGAGGCGGAGAGCTCGGGTGAGGCTGTGTGTCTGAACGGTGCAGGTGGGACCCCAGACAGTGGGGCCGAGACCCCAGGCGCTGCAGAGTCACCTGCAGGGGGTGAGGTCTTCGCCATTCAGTTGACAGCAGAGTGAACCAGAACCCCGCTCCCCGCGGGCCGGGGATGCTCCCCACAAGCACAAGGGGGCTATGTATTGTTCCATTTATTTAACTGTTTATTCAATTCCAAGGGTGTCTCCCCCGTTTTCTACCCAATCTCCCAATAAAGTTTTTATAAAGGACTCTGTGTCTCTGCTTCTGTCTGTAATGTACAACAATGGACAGTGAACCCAGATATATATGTGTGTGTATGTGTTATTTATGTGTATGTTTATAT